GAGAGAGAGAGAGAGGCAGACCCATTTTAATTTATCTCAGTCTATAATTAATTTCTCAGGATCAGATCTCATACCTTACCCTGCACGCTGAACTAGTAATCTCTCTGTACTCTCTCTCGAAGCAAACACATCCGCTCTTTCTGTGTCTACAATTTCTAGAAAATGGGGCGTCAAAGTTCAAGTGTTTCAATCTTTCTAGGGTTTCTGTTACTGAGTTTGTACCAATCAGCAATGGGTCGGTTCGTGGTGGAGAAGAACAGCTTGACGGTGACGTCACCGGATAGTATAAAGGGTAATCACGACAGCGCGATTGGCAACTTTGGGATACCTCAGTACGGAGGCAGTATGGCCGGGACTGTGGTGTACCCGAAAGAGAACCGAAAGGGTTGTAGAGGTTTCGATGAATTTGGGATTTCTTTCAATTCCAAGCCTGGGGCTTTGCCTACTTTTGTTTTGGTTGATCGTGGAGGTAGGTACCCTTTTGTGAATTTGATAAATTTGCTTGCTTTCTCGGTTTATTGTTAAGTTTTGAGCTTAATTTGATTATGTTGGCTCTTTCAGAGGTTAATTGGTGATATTGAATGTTCTTTTTTGTTAATTTTGATCTAACTAGATTTGTTTTGCTCTTCTGAGGGTGTTGGTAATTTTTGAGGTTCTTCTCCTATTAATCTTGGCTGAACTAGCTGTTCTTTTTTCATTTTTCATTTTAAGGCCAATTTTTGATTTTCGAGGTTCCCGTTAATTTTGTTAGAGGACCTGTAATGTGCACTGTGAGGCTAATTTGTGTTTTGGGGGTACTCTTTTTCTTAACTTTTGTTAGAGTAGCTGTTTGTTGCACTTTCTGAGTTTAATTGATGATTTTGGAGGTCTGCTTTTTTTGTTCGTCAAATTATCATTTTTTTACTTTGTTCTTTATGGTATTCAGTTAAATTATTTCCTCAGAGTAATTGGTTTTCCTGTGTAGGTTGATATTTAAATTAATTTATTTGGATAATTGTGTAGGAACCTTTTTTTTTCATTTTCCCATT